CGAAAACTTGTTGACGCGTTTCCATCAAGATTTTTCTCGTATAAAAAGGATATTCCACGCGGATAAATTGTCATAACTCTCGGAAAAATACTGTCAAACGTGATTCATATAAATACGGTATCCGATGCATTAAAGTATTAACGCGTGTGGCATTCTGAAAATTTGATTGATCCGTGCGTGCGATACAACGAGACTACTACCGGCTGTTGAATATTTAAAATACACAAAAGAATCGCGCGTGAAAGCTCGAGCAACAACAAAACGACCCAACGACATCGCGCGGCGAATTTGCCGCGCGCGTCTCTTTGTCGAGCGTCGTCCGTGTCGTTATATATTTCACGAAGTTTCCGAAAGTTGTTGATTTTTCGTCGAGGTGCAATTCAACGCGTTTAAATTTAACCGTTACTCTTTTTCGAGTATTTTGCCTCTTCGACCTCTTTCGATTCCTTTCTTTTTTTCTCGTGCCCTTTCGTTCACCTTCCGGAAACGCCATTATTGAGAAGTTGCGATAAGCTCTCTCGAAAAGTAGCAGAAAATCCACTCCGCGAGAGAGTAAAACATGCAGGAAACATTAAACATGCATATATAACCGTAGCCTACCCATTGGTGTACGTAAGGAAAATCTTCGCTCGTAGCAAAGTGCCGATGCAATTTAGAGAGAGAACCCGACCATTTTCCAATTGCTAAAGTTCACATCGATTTGCATGCAGGAGCATTTTCAACGCTACCGGCGAAAGTCTATTACAATTAAGAGAATCTTCGGCGCTTACTCGCGCGCCGAGTTTAATATTTCAACCAATTGTGCAATAGTTGGGTTTTCCCAAGCCCTCGCTATGGGCTCGTAATAATAATTACACTTTGAAGTTTTAAAGAAGAAATTGAAAGAACGAATGAAATATAAAAAAAAATTACATCAGTTTTCCTCGGGAAAGTGAAATTTTTAATTTCGTCGGGAAGAGAACTCTAAGAGCTGCTTCTGGTTCGACACGAGGAAAGATATGGGCGTTGAGTGCGAGGGCAAAAAAACGAACGACACTGCAAAGGGGGAAAAAGACCCGTAAGGGATGAGAGAGATCCTCGGAATATTATACAAGAAAATGACAGCAACAACTGCTCGGCGACGCGGGTCCGAGTATAATTAATGGTAGTGAGAGAAAACGGCAAGAAAAAGGAAAGCTTCTGGCCATATATACTTCGCCTTTTTTTAGATTGCTATTCAAGGATTGTTTTTGGTGCACGTCACAGCGGAGAGAGAGAGAGAATGCAAAACATCTCTTGGACTTTTTACGTTTTCTCCCAGCTCCCGCGTGTATACATGGATTCGAAGAAAAAAAAAGTAATTGAAATTCCATCCGTCCGTTCCGTGCGTCCAGTCTCGAATATAGAATCTAACGTGTATCGCAAGACATAATTCACTAAATCATCGATGGAACCGGCACATGATAAATTTTTTCTTTGACCTCTCTTTAATTTCGTCGAATTAAAGAAGTTTTCACTGCTCGCGCGCGGTATTATTCAGCGTAGGGGGTGCGCGTTACTCTTGAAATAGACACTCCGACGGACGAAGAAAAGGTGGAGGAGAAGGAAGGCGAGGCGCTAAAGTTTAAAATCCTATAAGCGTACGCGCGCGTCGCCGCAAGGAAAGCTGCTACTACTGCGTATAGATGCGTACGTATGTATATGCAAATAGTCGAAAACGCGCGCCAATTCCAAAGCTCACGATTTATGGCTTCTTTCGATTACAATGTCAAGCACGGAGGGGTATACATTTTTCCGTGCGCCGCGCGGTTATATATATTGCGCGCAAACGTAGGAAGAGCAGCCGAAGTCGAGTCGCTTGCTCGATGGGTGGGCGCCCTCCCTTTTTCTTTTTTTTTTTTGTCTTATTTCCGTTTCGCTTGATCAACGCGCGAGAAAAGGTGTGTTTCCTCGGCGCGCGAATGCGAAAAAAGGCAGAGCTTCGCTTTATTTTTTTTTTATCGACCCCCGAGTCGCTTCATTATCATTCGCGCGCGGACTCGGCGAGAGAGAGAGAAAAAAAAATTAATCCAGCAAATACGAGGCAAAAAAAAAAGGAAGCGAGAGAGAGAAAGAAGAAGAAGAAGTCATTATTTCGTCCCATATACATCCGCGCGGAAAAGGGGTGGAGCCGCGAAACGTATGTATACGTACGAAAAAGGCTAAATATTAGACACGGCCGCGGCGGCGTGTGACGAGCGTCGAGCGCCCGAAAAGAAAAAGAAGTGATTACCGTATATAGTATTCTGCTACGGTGGGCGCGTGGGCGAACAGATAATCAGGGAAGCTGCTGCTGCTGCTGCTGCTACGGTATTACTTTTAATTGAATTCCCCCGCGCGCGAGCACAGATGAAATTTCTGCGTCTTTCTCTCGGAGCGAGTTTCTTCCTCTCTCTCTCTCTGTGAATCGCGCGGGTTTCTTCGAGTAGACAAGTTTCGTGCTTCTATCCTTTATATACAGGAGCGAATTGTCGCAACCACAGCACGGCACGGCACAGAAATCTTCCATTATTTTGGATCCAACGTATTTTTTTTAATAAATGTAAATTCCCTGCAGCTTATTTTGCATATTTTCTCGCGTACGTATAAATAAAAAAGTTTTCTTTGGGCGATATTGCACGAGCTTATATATATCGACGCACCTCGTTGTTGTTTTTTTTTCGCCCGCGACTGTGTATCGTCGTACCCGACGTTTGTTTTTTCGCGAAAATTCTTTCCCCGAAAGAGAAAATTATTCGCAAAAATTACCAACCGCGCGCCCTCGATAGTATAAATTGCTGCCGCGCGCGCGAGCTTTGATAATGAGAAATAATAATTAATTCGAGCTCTTTCTCTCTCTCTCTTTCTCTCTCGTCATTACATATATACTAATGAAAAGTTGCTCCCAGCAGCTCGAATCCCAAAGCTCGGCAGCGGCGCAGCGTCATACAGCCCGCCGCTTGGCTCAAGTGGAATTTAAGGCTTATTTTGAGAACGACGACGATCGCGGCGCACAGTCTCCGCCTGTGTGTGTATTTTCCGCGCGCGTCGCAAAGGAATTCTCTTTAACGCGAGTATAAGTATAGCAGCGCATGCGGCATGTCGCGCGCCAGCTTCGAACTCTCCTGGCGAGGTGAAATTACCTCGGCTTCAGCGGGATTTTCTATCTCTTCTCTCTTTCTATCTCTCTGTGTGTGTGTACGTCTGCGCGCGCGCGTCTTTTCTCAAATTGATCCCCGCGCGCGTTTCGCGAAAAGCATCTTGTTTTAATTAACACTTTAAGAAAGTCGAGTCGACGACGACTACCTTATAGCATTGCTGCTGCTGTACGATATGTGCCGCGCGAGGTAAAATACGATTCCGAGAGATATCCGGTGAATTGCCCGGCGACTTTTTCTCGAGCTGCTGCAAGCTCTGCCCTCTTTTTTTTGCCTCTTATCTTTTGTTTTTGTTTGTACACACGATATGTGGGATTTTTAACGACTGAACATTCCCGAACTACTATACGCGTTGAATTATTCAAAGCTGCGCGCGAAAAAAATAGCTTAAAAGTATATTATCGGCTTAAATTTATGATTATTTTGTTGCCCCAGCTCCTCGCTCTCTTATCAGCGGTAAAATTGTATTTTCAGCTTTTTCTTTTTGCTATACCCTGTTGCTGCTGCCGCTGCTACAAAAGCAGCTCGAAGAGATCGATCTCATCAGCGCGTGAATGGCACGGCACAAACGACGGGTGCACCGATTCAATGTATCGCACATAGAGAGTGTCGCAGGTGGCGCACGATATAGTCCTCTATAGCACACACAATCAGGCAGAGTACTGTGCGCGCGCTATACGCATTATCCTTATACGTGAATTCTCGTCGTCGTCGTCGTCGTCGTCGTCGCAACGAGGCGCAAAGCCCAAAACAGCTCTTCGGTTTATATTATATACCTGCGTGCGTACGGGAATCGAATGCGGCGAGCTACAGCTCTGTACAGGCGCGTCTTTCCAGGGATACGGTATAGAGCCGTTGAATTTGCATACAGAGCATCTGTCACCGGGTCCCCCTTTTCTCTCTACGTATATAATACGCACTGCAAGTTTTGGCTTCTATACCATTTCGAGCGCGTGCGTGGGATCTCGCAGGTTAGATACGTAAACGCGACCGAAGCGATTTCTTATATTATGTACGGTTTAAAGGGCGTACGTATATCTACCTGTGCAACCCCCTGTGCATAGCATCTCTTTATTCCCAGCGTTATAATGCATTATCGCGAGCGCAATTTCCCCTCGAGAATCGCCGAGAGACTTTTCAGCGAGATTTGCCATTCTTTTCTGCGATGCGAAAGTCGACTCTGTTATATACACAGAACAGACACGATCATCTCGTTTCGTGCCGTCGTCGTTGGCTTTTGATAAAAGATGCGCGCCTCGATCTCTCTCGTCGCAGCAGTAGCAGCAGCAACGCTGGATCGACACGAAGTTAATTCGGATAAGTGCACACGTAGCGGTGGTGCAACTACTCTCCAAGTATACATACAGCACAGTCTGTACGCAAATACTAAAGCTCGGGGAGCTTTCGTCTATGTACCGCAGCATGCACAAGTTGATTAGGCAGACGGCGTCGGCGGCGGCTACGCGAAGTTGCACACGCCCGGGCGTATCGTCTCTCTCTCTCTCTCTCTCCGGATGCAGCCTGGAAATGTCAAGAACGCCTGATTCGTGTTTGTGGACTCGCGCAATTCTGATGTACTCGCTTTGGTTTAGTCGTCTATTCTGTGTGTGTGTGGGTTTGGGTTTCTAGATGCTCGTAGTTGCGGTGCAGAATAGTTTTTTAAAGAAAAAGCAGCTCTTCAAGATTCATTTTGTTCTTTTTTTTAATAAAATTGTTTTGTGCTCTATAAATAATATCATTTATAGAAAAAATATTATTTTTCTTTGGTCGATTGATCTAATTTGTTTCATAGTACTTAATGACTCATGATTGTTATGTTTACATCTGATTGATCAAATTTTCATGTTATGATTTGTAAATACACATCGAATAGAAGTTAGTTAGTTTGATGTGTAACACTCTAACGGAAAGATCAATCGTTGGCAAAATTCAAAGTGACCGATATGGATTCGAGTAGCGTATTTAATTTTCCCGTCAAGTAATTTTTTTAAGTTTCATAATGTTTAAAGTATGAAAGTGTAATAACAAAATACTTATTATTTTTGGACTTATTTCAGAGTGAAACAGGAGCCTCGTGACGATGAAGATTATTGTACCGACACTGAAAACGTTCTGCGAGAAAGTCACGTAAGATTTGATATTTTTTAACAATTTTTTACAGAAATTTACACCTAGTTAAAATTTCATTTACAGGCTCGGAGGTTTCAAGAGTACGACGAAGATCGTAAAACTGAACTCGACGACGTGAGAATAGAGTTGGAATGCAGGGACGTGAAGCCCGACGCGGATCTCTTGGCAGTTGCGAAAATTGAGAATGAATCTCCGGATCACTTGCGCGATACGAATCATGGCAATAACCATCAAACTCATAACAACAGGGTTAAAGTAGAGAGTGTGGACGAAGTGAAAAAAGAATTAAATTTGAGCGGTAAAATTAGTCATTCGCGTGATACACGTGGAAAAACATTTACACAGAAAGGTCATACCGACAAGGTGTACAATGGTATCAAACATACGAGCGATGTAAGTGGCAAGAAATTTTCACAAAAGGGTCGTCTCAATAAACACGTACAGTTATCGCATCCAAGTATCACCCATACATGTGACATTTGCGGGAAAAAATTCTCAAGTGAGCGTAGTATGAAAAAACACATCGATTTGATTCATAAGAAAATCTTAAATGCTTGTAATATATGTGGAAAGTCATTTACTCAGAAAGGTAGTCTCAAAATCCACATCGATTCGGTGCACAAAAATATTACTCACGCATGCGATGTATGCGAAAAGAAATTCTCAACCAAACGTAATCTCAAGACCCACATCAACACAGTGCATAATGATACCCAAGTTAGATATGCATGCGACATTTGTGAAAAGACATTCAAACACAAGGGTAATCTCAAAAAACACATTGATTCAGCGCACAATGGTATCGCTTATGCATGCAACACATGTGACAAGACATTTTCACAAAAATTTTATCTCATAATCCACATCAATGTGGTGCACAACGGTATCACACATACATGCAATCTATGTGAAAAAACATTCAAATACAAAAGTGCTCTACGAACTCATGTTAAATCAATTCATGATGGTGTTAAACATCCATGCAATAAATGTGAAAAGAGTTTTACGCAAAAAAATCACCTAAAAGCACATATTAAATCAATTCATGATGGTGTTATACATACTTGTGATATATGTGGAAAGACATTTTTACATCGAAACAGTCTTTTTAGGCATGCCAAATCCCATAATTAGAGTACTCAGTAAATGTATAAAATGTATTTACGATTGTTTAAAAAATCTGGACATATGATGCAAGTGTATTCGAAAATTAATCTTAACATTTTTTATTTATCATGATGAAACAGTCACGCAAGTGTAATATAATACGACAGAATTATCCTGTAAAATACTCGCAGACAATTCAACACTCTTTCGTTGATGTATTGTAAATCGATAGATGCTCGCTAATGTAATTTATAAGACAATTAATATTAAAATACCTCATCATTTTTATCAAAAATAAAATTTCGACACAGGAAGATAAACGAGCTTTTTTGAACTTGCAACCATATCGATTGACTATTATAATTTAAAATCGATTTATATCGATAAAAACAAAATTATCACCTTATCAAGTGGCGGTTATACCGTTATACAGCGTTGATAAAACCAAATTAAGGATGAAATCGAATGATTTCTCTTCGTCTCGCGTGAAACCAAAGAAAGCAGATCCGAGCAACCGCTAAAGCTCAATTCGATTTACCTAGGCACAAAAATAGTATTTAAATCGAGGTTTTTCGTCTCATCCTCCCCGGCGGACGCGCTCGCTTGTATTTGAGATACGAGAGACAGCGAAATATATATACGGAATAGAAGGAAAGTGTGTATTCCGTGTACGTTGTATTATACCTCGGCGCGTTCGCAGAAGTCGACGGCATACATATATATAAGAGGGATAAGAAAAGTCAAGCTAGTTTTCCAAGCACGAACTCATCGAAATTCCTCTCGAGTCTCGCTTTCCATTTCTATCCGCGCGCTCGCTCGCTCAGCCTCGTCGTCGCATGCGGGTTTCGGAGAGAGCCTCGACAAGCACCGCGCGCGCGGGTGGCATTATACCTAATCCAAAGTTCGATCTCGTCCCATTGCCGGTGGTGGTGGCGGTGGCTGTTGCGGAGAGCACGTGCTATCCGGCTGCAATTTGCCCTTTCCCTTTCTGCGGCAGCTTGATTTGGCGCATGAGAAAAATTTTTCTTGTTGTTTTCTTTTGTCTCGACGCGCTGTTTCCTTGGCTTTCTTTCTTGGCTTTCTCTCGCTCGCTCACCCGCGCCTTTTTCGATCTCTTTATTTTACATCCGAGGGTAGTGGTAGTGGTAGTAGTATAGCGTGCCAGTGAAAAATCACTAAATTTTACGGAGAATGAAAAATGAGCTGTCAGACCGAAGACATTTTTTTGTCGAGCTTAGAAGCGGCGTGTGGCAGCTCGAGAAGTGCCAGTGGCGTTATGAAGTATCAAAAATACAGGGCTGAGCAAATGTCTTGTAAAAAATTTAGTAAAAAAAATTAATTTTTAGTTCGGATGTAACTAATACAGTAATTCTACAGTAATTGATGAAGGTATGAACATTTTTTACATACTGATGGTATAAAAACGATACCAATATACATTTGTAGTTGGATCCTGATTAGTATTCCTTGTAAGCGAAATTCAAAAATCATTCCTCAGAGTAAAACTAATTTGAACAACTAAGTTTGAATAAAAAACTTGAAATTGAATAATATCGATTAATCTGTTGTAGCAGTTACTGATATATTTAACTGTACCATCAATGAATAAAGTTATAAGGGTGCCTTTGCAAAAAATATAAAACACATATCCTCGATAAAATTCAACTCAATATCAAAAATTTAACATTTTTCAAAATTTCAAGATAAATTTTAATTTGTTTATTAAAGAAATAGAGAAAATTTGAATAACTCTTATGGTTTCAAGGGTTTACCGACCATCACTAACCTTGCGAGGCCGGCTTTAACCTGGAGTCGGTTGGATAGGCAACTGCACCATGAAGCTTTTGAACTGTGGAAGGTAAAAGTTTTCAAATTTTTTACTTTTGTTATTTTTGAACAAGACATCAAATTGGCATTAAGTATTTGTTGATCGAGGAAAAAAAATAGTTTTTGAGGTATAGGTCAATTAATTATTAAGCCTACCATTCATCATAACAAACCGGATCGACGCGTTGCTAAGGACGCAATAAGTACTACAAGCCACTACTGTCACTTGCACATTGCTTTGTGTCAAGGGGTTATAGTCTCTCCGACAATCGTGCGACGTAGATCGTTGAACTACATTCTATATCCTATGAAGTAAACTATGTATAGTTAAGCAAAAATAGTCAACAGATTCAATATTCTATTTATGAGTTAAAAGGTGAATTAATATTTATTATTTCGCGAAAGTGAGTGCGAGGAAGGGTGAATTTTTGAAATAAACAAATATTTGTGCTTTTTTCACTATTGATTTAGACTAAAGTTTGAATAAAAGTCATGAGCTCTCGAAAGTCGGCACAAGAACGAAAAAAATCCGAATCGTCGAGACATCAAAGTAGTGATTTCGACGAAGTTGAAGACATTTCCAGTCAGAGTTTTGCCGATGATTCCGATAGACATTCTCGGCGTATGCACAAGGTAAACATCATTCTGTACCCAAACAGTTTTTAAATCGTGTCGTTTTACGAAAGTAAACTTGATTTTTTTCAAAATTGTTTTTAAGGATAAGAGGCCTTCTACGAGCGAAAAGCATAAACGTAAAACAGACATCGACTCCGAGGATGAATACGTCGACGATCAAAATCACAACGTTCATAAAAAGAAGAGACATAAAAAACACCATAAATCGGAATCGAGAGAGAGTACAGAAGGTGTGCTGTCGGACGATGTTTTTGGCGAAAAAACTGACGCGACTTCGAGAGAAGATGCACCCAGTAAAAGACGCAATTCCAGAAAAAGAGACGACAATGTTTCTTATAAAAGCGGCAGCGACAGAGACGTCTCCGTCAAAAACGATAGCTCCAGAAGTGCCAAAAAGAAACGCCGGCGACAGGGTAAGAAATTTAAATTACGTCCCATTGTCTCGCGCAGCATCGAAAAAATTGTTTTCTGGTTAAATGTTTCAAGGAAAACCAGAGGAGTTGCCGATAACGGAAATTTTGAAGAAGGCCCAGGAGCAGCGCACCAAGTACGAGGAACCTCTGCCACTGCCCGAGCTGACGACCGACACCATGTACGTGCAGCGACAGAGTGGTTTCAGCGCCATTCGAATAAGCGGTCAAAGTCAGAACAAACATCCTCGACGCAACTCGGAAAATCCAAATCAACCGTCGAGTACGCGACCGATCGAGGTCGCTATTTTCTTTCAAAGAATCTGGACTTCTGCGGGATTTATTTTCCAAGGACTACTCGGTGGAATGGCTATGCTGCATCTTATATTCGTGAGACCAAATATTATGTAATGTCAACGTTTATATATAATTTGCCAATGGATTTATTTCATCATTTTCAGATGCAAAAATATTTTGACAGTTCTGAAGAAATTCTCGGCAATTATTCAGTCTTATCGGAAACCTATTCGAGTGCATTTTCTTTTTTGATTGCTATGTGTCTCGTTTCTACCTTTGACAAGTAAAAATATTTTTATTTAATAACAACAATGAATATAATTAAGAAAGAAAATTATAATTGTTATTTATTAGGTTTGATTTAGCTCATTTTGGACGAAGTCATTATCGCTATATCTTCAACAATTTTTTAAAATCGATTCCATCTGTGCCATTGTATTTAGCAGCTTTTTCCATTCACCAAGTAACGCTCGAAGTGGATGATAAATTAACTTTGATCCATTACAACAGCAGCAATCAGTTAATGGATACGTATAACGTAATTTAAATTATTTAAAATTATACTGAAATTTTAAAATTGCGATTTAACCTTTTGTTTTTTATTAAAATGCAGATAACCAACGGATACATTGATAATCAAGAATTGGAAATGTGGAAAACTCTGACGCTATCAAAGGATGCATTAGTCATTTTTAGTTGGATTTTCGTTTCGCTTGATGGTGAGAAGGATATGTTACTGAGCCAATTAAAAAATATGAATAAACACTCTTAATGTGCCATATGATGTGCAATGTGATTTGTTATAAATTTAATTAAATTATCTCTTATGATAAGTTGTTAATTAATAAAAAATATGAATTGATACTTCAATTTAAAGTAACATTGTTATAATAGTAGGTAATTTACAAAGAAATGTATAATCAAGAACCATTTAAAATAAAATGTCAAAGTTGTATATGAATCGAAACAAATATGAACTGTAATTTAATTGTTTTTACTCTTAGAAATGGATTTTAGTTTCTGCATAACCGTGCGTTTTTTAGTAGATTTTGATGATGATTCCACATTAACTTTCGATTCCGGCTTTACGTCGACTTGGAACTGAGGCTCCTCGATTTTTGGTATTATTTCTTTAACTTTTGAAGGGATTTTGGATTTTTTTTTATTTTTTGAAGTAAGAAGCTGCTCAAGTTTTTCTTCTAAATCTTCATGATTTTCATCCAGCATGTTGTTTTCAATACGATCACTTAAAATCTAAGAAGTTTTGAATAACTTGTAAAAGCAAATTTAAATTGAAAATAATAATGGAAAAAAAGTAGGTACTTGTTTTAAAACTCTAATATTTTTTGTCAAGTTGTGCACTTTATCGACCAAACTGTCATCCGACATACTTGAGTAATTTAAAGAATCGTGGCAGCTTTAGTAATAGATATCAGGGGTTATGAATGAACTAGTAACCTAATTTACATACGTTGGTACACTTGAACTCACTAAATCAGTAAGTATAGTACTGACAGCAAAACTCAATTGAATAATTCAACAAAACTTTTTGGTCAATTTTATATATTTTTTTATTTATAACAGAATATCGTCTGATATGTACAATATTTATAGATTTTCTAATAACTTATAACTAGCATATATTTCATATATTAATTTGCTGAGGCAAAAAGCATGATAACGCCTTAATTCATTTTTTCGACGATCATACAAATAATTCTAGTAAAAATTCAACAGTATTGCATTCATATTTTTCTAACATATATGATAAATATTAATTTTTTGACTATTAGCCATTGACAAATGGGGTAATTCGAAACAATCATTTAAAAGTAGATATAATAATTGTAAAGGCTAAAGCGTACTCAATATCTGTGCATAGTGCTCCGTTTGTGAAAGAAGTCGAAATTAATACTGTGTAAAAGTTAAATTCTTAAAATTTCGATAATAATTCTTTTTGATAAATCTTTGTAATCTGTACATTACATTAGCTTACATTAACATTGACTTACTGCATAATAAGGCACTGATTAGGGTTCGTTAGCTATCAGCAGCTAAATAATTACGGTTATTTTCATCACAAAATTTATGTTATATAGAATATAATTTCAGCTCAGCTGTGAATTTCATATTTTAATTCTTTCGGTATTACGTGTCTAAAATTAAATAAACGAACAAATTCTGAGCGTACATTCGAGACATTTATGTGTAAACTCGAATTTTTGAAATAAACATAGATAGTTAAATTGAATATAGAGAATGCTACATTTTTTTGAATCAACAAGTGACTTTCTCGTAATCATTGAGATTTCATTTCCCATCTACATATACATGCAAAAACAAATATACATATAGATATTTATCATACGGAGATTATTACAACTTCAAATGATTTACTTTTGACTAGTATGGGCCTCTGCGAAAATCCTTTGGACTTTCACCGTACGTAAACAAACGCCCGCGCAAATAATATTCGTTTTTTAATATTCTTTTACTCGCACAGTTAAACGATAGCGTTGAAAATTATGCGAATCATTGAAAACTGTACACATGATGTTATTCACAATAACATTTATAAAATAATCTCCATTTTTTTGTTCCATAAAAATAATTTTGGGTTGACATTAGAAATATAAGTTTTCTTGCTTTAGATATATTAGCTGTTTACTATAGAATTTCATAGTTTCAAATTTTCTTCTTTAAAAAATTATCATATTATTCACTCATTGTGCTCTTGAACCTACTTACTACGATTCAAATATATTTGTTATATATATTTTTCATACTTTTAAATCTATCTTTACATACTTTTCAAATATATATTTATAACGTTCTCGAAATCAACACTTGATTTTTTTTCAATTTAAACTGCAAAATGTATTTCTGAACTGTGACTGGTTGACCTCTACAATTTTTACAATAATTATAAAATTGTGCAATTACAAGCAGTTAAGAAAATGGCAGTATACAATCAGCAATCAAGAATATATTGTTGCAATGCCATTTCATGTTTTTCATTGATCATGTGGTATTTAATAACCATATCGAATACGCGTTACATTGTTCTAAACAATTTTCGTGTCTCGGATCAAAATTTGATGAATGTTGATTTGAGAGCGATAAAAGAGATTTTAGAACATATACTTTGGTCTCGTTTCCTCTGCTCGCAGAGAACTTATGAAAAATTTCCTGGCACACGATTTTCCATGCCCTCGTAAATATTTACATGATTGTCATTCTTTAACTCTTCATTAGAAATATATCTTTTGTAAACGATTAAAAGTTTTTTTTGAAATTCAATTAATACAGTTTCCATTCTCTGGTTGAAAATTCCAATGGATATCGATTTTCAAAATAATCCCAAGATAACGATTAAAAATTGACAATAATCATGTTCGAAGTAATCTACAATTTATTTTTCTCTCGCAACATTATAATATATAGTATATATTTATATATCTACGTCCATTTAGCTATATCCTAGGGTCGTTTTCGCTTCTCGAAGGCTGTATAAACATTACCGTGATACGTATACATTATTGTAACAGTAGTAGTAATGGTAGTAGTAGTAGTGGTTAGCAAGTAGTAGTTTCGTAGGTGTAGAAGTTGCAGTAGTAGTGAGCATTAGTAGTGTTGGTAGCAGCTTTAGCATAGTAGCGCGAGTACAAACTTTAGCCATCTCTCGGTCCTCTCTATATCTCTGATGTAGTCAAGAAGCCTCGGCGGCAGAACAGCAGCAACGACGACGACATCTTCGATTGCTTCGCTTGGGCAAATACATCGAGCGCGCGACGTATATACGCCACCGAGTTTGGCACTATCTTGGCTATTTTTTTTCTTCTTCGCTTTAAAGGGACCGAGAGGAATCGCGCTACTATCCGACCCTCTATCAGGCGGGATCTTCTTGGGCATAACGGCACCATGAGTGGCCGTTGTTGTTGTTCGCCTCGACGTAAAGTAATTCTCAGTCGTCGAAGTCGTGACGCAGCTTAATGTAGAGGCACGAGCCGAGAATGATGCCGAACACCTCGAGTACCGAGAGACCGAGGCCGACCGCTCCCAGTATTATCAAGTGATCCTTCGTCGTCTCCAGAAATTTGTATATGCAGCCCTGTGAGACACAAACACACACAAACGAGTTAAAAAAATATATCTATCCATGTGTTTATCGACTCGTCGAGCCAAGCGAAATTGCATCAAATGCGAATTACCGTGTATTGTATATTGGACGGATGATCTCGTTTTCCGCATAAGTAGCTGGGCGTTTTGCAGCAGCTGTCGGGCACGAGACTTCCGTTTCTCTGCACCTCCTCGTCCTTGAACCACTCGCTCGATAACCAGTCCTCGAATCTGACGGCGCCGCAGCATTTGAACTGAAATTGATAGAGAAAAATGAACGTTTTATACTACTTTTTTTTAACTTCTGTATGCGCTATATTCGCGTGACGTTGAGATGAGGATACAGGAGATAGAGAAGAACTAGAGTCTCGTGACGTTTCCCGTGAAATTCGAAAAAATGTACTTTTTTGCGAATTGAAAAAGCTCAAAGGTATTATATCACCGTAAGTATGAGTATTTTGTTGTTAATCAAGAAACTTACTTCCTGTTCAATTTGAATGCAAAAAGGGTTATTTTTGACGCGTCATGCATCATCTATAAACTCCGTAACTCTCGTAATAAAAAAACTTTTAATATTTGAAATGGAAATGGTGTTTTTCTGCTCGAGTCTTGTAACTTTTTAATCAATAATAAACAAGAAGATAGCATGAGCAACGCAGTAAAATGAAAATATACGTTTTATAAAACACGACAACGAGTCTATAAAAGCTCGTTCATGCATAATATCCGCACAAAAACTTTCTTTTAGCGTTTCTCTCTTTCTCTCTATGTCTCTCTCTTTTCTTCTCATCTTTCCAACTCGACGACCACGATGGCGACCATTTCAAAGAGACCATATGCAAAATACGCGCGCGCTTGCATACCAACCGCCGGTGCACTCGCGCAGATATAGTTTTTCACCCACTCGATGTCAAAGTGAGTGACACACTACGCGAAAGCAAATACCGAAAAAAAAAGAAGAGCAGCTAGCGGCAGCGGCAGCAGCAGTAGCAGATTCAAAAGTGTTATGAATGGTTTTTGGTTCCCTTTTTTTTTGCTCGTGTACACGAGAGGGAGAGAGAGAGATAAAATAGTCGAAAAATTTTACAGATACACACAGCCGGATTACAGTTCTCGAGCCACGCGCTTTATCCACACGTGTGAATGTCAAAGGACGTGTTATTTTTTTCTCGTTTATTTTTTTGTTTCGAATTACACGAGCGCGTGCGAGGCTTAGCCGGAGATTTTCGAGGCTAATATTTTAATGCACCAAAGTTTTGCACGAGCCATAATATATAAAAGCAGAAAAAAGTAAACGCACATAGAAGCGGGGTTATAAACGAAACGAAACAAATTTGATAAAGCTGCTGCCACTGCTACGAGCTCGCGAATAATTCAGTCACCTGTACTAAACGCTGCTGGGCGATTTTCAATGCGCCATGAATAAAGCATACATATACACCTCTATATGGAGTATATATACGCGCGATCATTGGCCCCATTGTGATCGCGAGTCACGCTTGAAATGCTTTAGAATGCCCCACGCACGTTTGTCGTATTATATATATGCGTTATATTACAGTGGCAGTGGCAGCAGCGCATTGCACATTGCACATTGCACGAGGATAAATAAAAATAAAAAAAATACCCATTCGCACGCGCGAGTGAGGGAGTGAGAGAGAGACGAGTCGAGCGCGAAGAATGCGAGTACGCGTGTTTCGGCATATAAATGCGCATGTGTGCGCGCACATACGCGAGCGCGAAAAATAGTTTAAGCTCCTGCTTATTCGCGCTATAACGTGATACGCGAAAAAATACGATACACACACGCGCGCGCGTTATATAATAATAATATTTGAAAACGATATCACGCGAGTGGCTATAATAAATGACACTCTTCTCTCTCTCTCTCTCTCTCTCTCTCTATATCTCGTTTGGTATACTCGGCGAGCTTTCGTATATATACGTACGTCGATTTTCACCGACGAGATCTATATAATACCTGTATATATGTGTATATATACGATATCTGTACGTGCTGTGCAACGTCTGCAGCTGATGCGTATTACCGGTCGTTTGTCCATAACCATTTCCTCGTATACATCTCGCATTATATATCGCGCTTCGGTGTATCGACTCGGAATATTGCGCCTCGCGTTAACCCTTTCGAGGCGCCGCCGCCGCTATATACGATGTATCTATGCGTGTATATCGAAAGAAAAAGCGCATAAAACTATCCGAACGATACACGGATAATAAAGTCACGTCGTATACGTATGCGCGAGCGATGAAGAACAGCCGAGAGCTTTTTATTTATTGCGGATTCATGTGTGACTTATAACTATGGCGCGGGGTGAAGCTTTTAAAGAGGATTCGAGTACAATGGATGTGATGGAAAGGGTGCTTGGAGATTTTCACCGCTCGTATAATGACTAAATAGCCCGCTCGCAATATCATAGTCACGGCGCGAAATATAACGATCGAATATAAATACGTAAATCAAGCATTAAACTTCGCTGAAATCCACGCGCAATATCGAATAAATCTCCTCGAAAGCTCGTGCAAAAATTATACGATCACGCGCGTATGAGTGTGCATGTGCGTGTGTTTACCTCTTTCTGCATCTGGTCGATGGCCGCTGTCTCTCTGGACCTCAAAGAGTAGTTCTCGAGGAAGGTGCGATTGAGATTCATGCGCAGCTCCGGGCCCACTTGTTCCTCGTACAATCGGGCCAGTGTGCCGACTCCCGCCTCGAGTATCAGCACGCCCATCACCACGAAGATGTACTGGAAAATAATGATGAAAATCGTGAAACCGATGCAGCAGTTCATTTTTGCGCACATATGTTGTATAATGTTACAGAGGGTGAGGGAATACACAAAATTGTAATTAATCAAACGATTGGATTTTGTCCAGGAATTTATTTATTCGTTATATCAATTCGGCAGCTGCCGCTGCCGTGTTACACGCGTGATTTAACTTTTCGATTCCCGGAGAGCTTTCGGGTCGACGCAGTATCCATAATTCGTTACTCGAATATCTGCAAAACCAAAAATACATACGAAAAACGATAATAATAATAATAATAATATAAATTATGCAGCGCGATGTATAATATATACACGGACACCGACCAGTGCCTCGGCATTTATTTTCACAGAGCATTTTGTAACGATTCACGTAGACGACTCCGTCGCTGCCGCAAATTGGCTTGAATATTCTCGGGACTCGGCAGGCGCACCGCTGCTGCTGGTGCAGGCCATTGTTGTACCCGATGATCGCCGTCGCCAGCGCCGCATCGGAAATCAAGCTCGCTAAGAATACTGTACCGATATAAACGCAAAAATTTAGGTTAAATGCACGATCGTTCTAGGCTTATTTATAGGTTTATATATTATACGAATGTTATGTAATATTGTTATTACCGCACGATAAACAGTACACCAGAAAATTGCTCATTTTCTATTTTCGTATGTCTGTCGGCGTAGCCCAGCTGCCGCTGCTGCCGTTGCGCTTCCATGAAAACTCCCGAAAAGAGTGAGCTCGTGCCTGGATTCGAAATATCGTACACACGTGCGCGCGAGGCGATTATTTCGCTGTTCTTGTATTAGTGTCCCCCGCTGGTCGTCGTCGTTGTTTTTTCTCTCGCGGCATAGCTGCACGATTCGCGCTAATATAATCATCGCTACGAAGGAAGATTTCTCGGAAAAAGCTCGAGAACGAAATATTATATCACAATAAATAAAAAAAAATACGTAATCGAATTTCTCTAAAAAACGCCAAGTATCGAAGTCGTTGATTATTCAAGACTTTCATACCTATATATGTACGTATCTCTAAACTTGCAATGTGTATGTATATGGCATAGAGAGTATTATACGCTTATTGCCGTAAGGACGCGCGCGCGCCTGAAACGTTCCCTTTCGCATCCGCACGTAGCTCCGATACGTATAGCGTGCAAGCGACATTAAGGCGTCCGAGCGTTTTCTTTCCGCTGCGGAGCAGCAGCACGTCGAAGCGTATCTCTTCTTGTTTTTTTTTGCTGCTACTGCTGTTACTGCTTCAAACGCTTCGCTCGCGCACACTCGATTTATCGATAGCTTATGAAATTCGAAAAAGCATCTCTCAACTTTTCTCGATGCTATACACACATACACACGTACAAAGTGTGTATAGCGGAGAAAGAGAGATACGCCCGCACTCGGGGTAAAGGCAACTTTACTCGCTGTACGTGGTGTATATAATACAGAGGCCACGGTTCACGGAACACTTGCCGCGCGCAGCACATCTTTGAAAAAGGAGCGCGCGCAAGCCCGAGGTGAGCTAGCTGCTCTACATGTATACCTCTGCCTCTCGTTTCTGTGTGCAGCAGCAGCAGCAGCCTCTCGTAGCAGATATTCAGAGGAGCCTATAACGTTCACGGCCGATTGCGGAAATGAATATCAGTGACGGCACACAGCCCACCATACAGTGGCAGCGAAGACTTGCGCGCGAACGACAAAAAATAAAGGAGAAAATTCACGAAAAACAGATAAGTGGAGTTTTATCGGCGCGGCGACAGACATGGAAAGAAAGTGTGTGTGTGAAAAGATACGTACTGGATGCAAATGGAGCGCGCGATAAGAATGATTTTAATTAGATTTTGAGTTTCTGGGTAGAAATACTCAACATCAATAATGGTCTACAATGACTAGAAAATGACTATTTCGAGTACTTTGAAATAACATTTATTAGCTTGTTTTTGGCAATTTTTATATAAGAATGGTGTTAAAAATATCAAGCGCACTTTAAATGACCCGACAATGACGATTCAATTGTTACAAAAAAAAATTAGACCGGTTTTCAACCTACGAACATTACTTTCAATTTTCACCGCTAGATGGCGAGCACCTTGAATCTGTAAATCCACAAGTGGGAAAGTAAAAATATTTGTATAAAGGAGCGGCTTAATTACAGTACCATAAGCTCCTCGAAGAAAACATGCCAAGTACGGTTCAAGTTAAGCCCTGAGCTCTCACGGCCGCTACGATCTTCTCCCTTTTTCCGCGCGTACATAATTTAATCAGCGAATATAATATCGCTGAAAGCGTCGTAGTGTATTTTCCGATCTCGTGTATCGCGTCTCGCATCTTTCGGATAAGAGACTGGAGAGCGCCCCGCAGCTAGCTCTGATGCTGCGCGCTAAAAATCTTCAGGCCGCGTTTTACATTCGCGGAAAAATTACGCAGCTAGCTGCGGACCGAAGTCTGTGATGCGGTGCTCCGCGAAGAAGAAAAATACGCGTGCATGTTTATATACTAATATGTATACACTATATAGAAAATCTACCTGCAGGCACATCGTACACCGTATAATACTCCGCGTGCACTCGCACGTTGTGTTGCGATGAAACTAATACCGCCCGAGCACGCTGCCGTAATATACGTACATATAGTAGTCTATACGTGTATCGAGGTGTGTGTGTGTGTGCTTTTACCTGCGCGGAAACTGCGGGTGGTCCCTCAGTCCCTCCCTCTCTCTCTCTATATCTAATACACTCGGTTTAATACACTCACAAAAGCCTTTGCCAGCTGTCAAATACACACGTACACGTGTACCATAGATCTCTCTCTATACGTGTTTATTAATACGCGATTGGCCGGCGTATACGTTATATTAATTCCATATCCTCGACGTATATTACACAGGGTGAATATTTTACAACGAGTTTATATACAAAATGTGTATACGCGTGTATAATATTCCTGTATAATATGTAGTCCAAGTCGATCGGAAGTAAAGGGTCAGCCCGAGCGTATAGGTCTATATACACACAGGACTACAATGGATACACGTTTGTGTGTGTGTGTATGTGTGTAATGCGTATACGCCCAGTACGCAACATTATGCGCGCGGACTCGTAATAACGTGTACATACGCTTGTATTATATACATAATGTTTACGTTCGTGTGTATATATGTGCGTCGCTGTACACTCGCCCGCACACGCGTTATTATTGTATATCGATTATATCGGCCTGATAAGGATAAGATTCGCGTGCGTGTATACGCAGAAGAAGCGCCCACAATAGTCTCGTGTGCCGCGGCACGAACTGCGAAGTTACGACGGTGTGCAGTGCTCCCATCCGGTTGGCTAGATATCGCTCAATTGTATAAGTATTGCAGCCGCTGGCGGGGGTGGTCGTATAACGCACACAATGCTAGCTCTCGCTCTCTCGATCGAGCCATTATTTTTCCGTTTGAATTTTGATTTCCATCCAGTCCTGTGGAATCTCGATGCGCCCGCCCGCGTTTTAATAGGGATCGAACCGCGCGCGCGTGCCATCGCGAGAGATCTCTACAAATACGAATGCGCGATTGCGAGCTTTGACGTAAAATGGCTTTGACGGAAATCTGCGCTGCGCAGCTTGCTGCCGCTGTAGCAACCAATCGGGGTGTAACGTAATTTACGAGCTCGACCGCGCGCGCCCGGGCTTTACACGAAATGAGACGCATAACTTCGAGTCGAGTTACAAATGTATATAAATTTTATAAAAGCTCGAGTGCCGCGGTATGCGTACGTGCTGTCGGTAAAATCATTATTGAGAATAAATAATTCGCGATATGCGCACTTGCGTGTGTGCATATATATCGAATTCATGAATTTACGCGCCGGCATCGAAAGTTCGTATAATTTCTCCAGGACAATTCGAGCTTAATATTCAATTGAATCAATCGCGCGCCGTCAAATTTTGTACGCCACCGCGATTTATTTAATGTATACTATAGAAATGCACTGTGCAGTAGCAGCTGCCAGCCATCACATGCGCGCATGCATTTTCCCGCTCCCTCCGAATATTATTATGAATAATTTTTATGCAATTAATTATTCACTTTGAATAATAACATTACCCTAAATAACAATCCCCGGGCTCGCGAGCGAGCGAGAGCTCTACTGTGCGTTGGCCGAATATTTGCACACAGGCAGGCGCGCGCGGATTAGGTGAAAATCGATCGAATTTTTTTGAGCGTAAAGAAAAAACGATAGAGGAAAAAAGAGAGAGAGAGAATCGAATTAAATTTTCCATGCCAGTAGAATGAAAATCTAGAAAATTATCTCGTTTAATACGAGAGAGAGAGAGAGAGAGAGTTGCAAGCGTGAATCGTTCGAGCAAAATAAAGGTAAAAAAAAAACGCTTTCATCCGACACCTTCTTCTTTTTTTTTATGTTGCAATCTCAACTCTCGCCTCTTTTTTTCCATGCAAGCGCAGAAATCGTTAGATTATATCAATTTCTAACGTTTCAACGACTACGGAAACAAAAAAAAAAATTATAAAATAAATACGATTCTCGTTGTATCCGATGTTATTTGAAATTTTCGCACCGTGCTCGTGCAGAGCGCATTATCGAGAGCCTTGTCCACAATTTGCACGATTTGCATATCACGGGGTACGCGCGTTATGCGCGCCTCGCACACGTACGACGCTCCAAAGGTAATCCTTGTTAAACAAAACAAAAAAAATATTAATAAAAAAACAGAGAGAGAAAAAGTTGCAGCTAACGTATCTTCGATTCGGATGGACGAGATAATTAATTGCCGAGAGATATATAAACGCGCTCGATTGCGATTGCCGAGAAATCAGTGTACGTAGATCTCCCTCTCTCTCTCGCTTGCGTTCGCCCCCCGATAATCAGCAGTAAAGCGCAAAATGTCTCTCGTTTGGCGAGAGAGCAGAAGAGTATTTTTTTTTTTTTATCATTTTATACGAGTGCGCGCGAGGGGCAGGTTTTTTTCTGTAGCGCCGCTTGCGCGCTATGTATATTTTCGAAGCGCGCGATCGAGTACGTTTATACACGTACTATAATAACGTGTATATATAATAATGCACACAGCGTCGATGCAGATAAATACCGTATCAATATAAACGAAGATAAAGAGAAAAAAAAGAGGAAGAAGAAAAAAAAAAGAAAAATAACGCGCGTAAGCTCGAGAGTTCGACCGGTTGACAGAATCTATATCCGGGCGTTATTTGCATGTCGTAATGAGGAGCAGCGGCGTCGCGCGCTGCAGTGGAATCTCGAGCACCCGGGCGATATCGTCGCTGTGTATGCGAGTATTTCTCTCTCCGCGCGACGCGACTCCTTCTTTTTCTTCCTTTATTCGCTTCTCCTTCTTCTTGTTCTTCTTGTTCGTCCGTTGGTTGACAAAAAAGTGCTTGTTAAAGCCGCAGGAATACACGTACTACTACTACTACTACTGCTGCTACGACTGCACTGCACTGCACGTGTGCAAAAGGCGAAGGTAAATAATTTCAGATATTCGCTTCGTTCCGCGCTCGCGCTCCATATTAGATACGCGCACGTGTAAAAGATCGCCGCTGGTATTTTTCGAGGCGCGCAACACGTTTAAATAAATGCTACATAGCGTAGGTATATTCTCTCTCTCTCTCTACTCTGCGTCAACGCGTCTCGAGAGCGAGATATTTTATTCCGTGGCTTATCCGGCAAAAGAGCCTAAACGTAAATTGCCCATTTTATGCGAAACGCTCCCATTGTCCTGACACGAGCGAGACTTGTGCTGTCTTAAAACTCGAGCTGTCGCGCGCTCTGCAGTGGTTATCCAAGTGTCAAGAGCTCAAAGTGCGCGGTAAAAGGATTTTTCGCGCAGCGAAATACTTGGGCGGTTGACGGTTCATCGTTCCCGAAAATCTCCAAAATACCAAAAAACAAAAACAAAAAACAAAAACAAAACGAGAGCAAGCTCGTTACACGGCGCGTACCCACGAAAACTCGATGATCGATGGGATATTTTTCGAAGCGGGCAAAAAGGGACGTGACTGTGAAGTTCTCTCTCTTGGCTGTGGTGTATACGCGAGCGTATAGCTGTTATTATTTGTACGTGGCACGTGCGAGAAATAACGATTGGCCTTTTCGTTCATGATTAGCGTTGAGGCGCGCGCGAGCGAGTGGAGTGGAGCGGAGTGCCTGCGAGGCACGGCCGCAGCGTTAATCAAGCAACTAAATACGTGTGCGTATAAATATATATACGAACGCGGCCGATCGTGCAGCGCCCGCCTCATTGATTGTTTCATTTATCTTCTCATGCGCGTATATATATATCGCGGTACACTTATATACATTAGTGCGCGCATTTTTCAATGCATCGAATCAATTGCTCTTGCGCGCGAGCTTTTTTTTATTTTTGTTTTTAATTGGCGATTCTCGCGGGGCAGTGTCGTATAGAGATGGTGTATACACGAGCGCGCGCGTGTATAATGTGTAAGGATCGCGACGAGGTGATCTCGGAAATTTATGAGGGTAGAAAATAATGCGTTCTACTTTTCATATTTGGAGGAGTAAATAAGAAATAATTTATTTATAAAGTAGAATTATTATTTATCATTATTTTTAGAAAAATAAAAATATTGATATGATCCTTCAGAAAAGTTATTAGTTTTGCATATTTTGATTAAAAAATATGAGTCATGAAATGAAACATTGGCATTAGAAAAAATAACTCGTTGTCGATCGTGCATTATCCGTTACCAGACTGCGCTCAAGTCGAAGTACATTTTACACTAGTTTTCACGCGTAAATTCGGATACTCGATGTATCAATTTTATGTGTTTTTTCAAATCATTCTTTTGACTACCATAGCATTCTTCACAGTTGTGATCTTTGATTTTCTTATGGAATACGGCAATATGTTTATTCAAGAAACTTTTAAAACTGAAAGCTCTTCCACATAATCCACACAAGTGTTATTTAAATTTTAAATGAACTGCATCTAAAGGTTTCATCAGATTACTATTTAGTGCACAAGATTTACCACGTTCTTTGCATTTGTGTGATCTTGAATTTTATCATGAATTGTGGCAACGTGTCTATTTAAGACTCGTTTATGACCAAAAGCTTTCCCACATTTTTGGCACATGTACTCTTTGAGTTTCAAATGAACTGTATCTATGTGCTTTATCAGGTTATTTTTTTATGCAAAAGCTTTTCCACATTCTTCGCACAGGTATTCTCTGATTCCAAAATGAACTTGATCTATGTGCTGCGTCAGATTACTTATTTGTCCAAAGGATCTGTCACATTTTTTGCACATGTGTTCTTTGAGTTTCAAATGAACTGTATCTATGTGTCTCATAAGACTACTTCCGTGGCCGAAAAGTGGCCCACACTCTTTGCATTTGTGATCTTTGATTTTTTCATGAACTGCGGCAATGTGTTCTTCCAAGACTCTTTTGTATCCAAAACACTTTCCATACGTCTCACACACGTGACTTTTAATTTTCAAATGAACTAAATTTACGTGATTGTTCAAATTACATTTAAAAGGAAAGATCTTACCGTACTTGTCGCATTTGTGGCGTATTTTGTCATATTGACTGCCAAATCTGTGCTTTTTCGTAGTTTTCATTGTAAAAATATATCTTATTATTACTGTCAAAAATTGTACCATCTATCTGATATTACGACTATTTCCCTACTGTTCTCATTTGAAATCTCATGTATACTTTGAACTGTGAGATGTTGTTGTTGAAATTTTGTTTACATCGGAACTAAATTATCGAGTTATTGAACAGAACAAAAATCAATTATATTTATAAGTACTACTTATGAGTTATAGAAAAAATTTCAGAATCAATTTCCCTTTTTTTTAAACTCACATAAAATTATAATCAGTAATCGTGTCGTGCATATATTATACATGTAGCGAACGGATTTCTTTTCTGAAACCATCAATTTTTTATAGAAAAACATTTTTCAGTAAATAATTTGAAATAAAAATTCCAGCGCACCGTGCACACCTCTTGGCATGAAAAATCTGCGGCTTTGTAAAATTTGTAATCTCATTGGCAGCAGCACGAGAAGCGGCGGCGGCGTTTCTCTTTCTCGAAAATTTACAGTGAAGAATTCCAAAAGGCACCCTGGAGAGTCGTGTGCGATATTATACGCGTTTGCGGCGCGCTCGCGCCCAGCGCAGTACTGCTGCTACTACTACTACTGCTACTACATAGCTGCTCTCGAGATGTATGCGAATCGAATTATATATGTCGCGGCCGCAATGATATTACACCGAGTTGGTACGTGCTGGAATTCAAAATAATTCGCCCTCTCCTAGCTCTGGAGCTCTAGAACTAGCTGCACGTATAGATATGCTCGCGCGCGATTGTTCTCTCTCTCTCTCTCTCTCACTCCGCTCGGCAGTGTGCGCTAACCCATTGTGTGGTTCATAAGTGGAATGATTAATTTTGGAATTTTCTTTTGGATTCGCTGTAGAGAGCACTCGGAAAAATAGTAATGTCACGTAAGTGCATGGATGGCAACGCGGAGTCCTGTAATTCCTGGTCAAGAATTGTTGTAAAATATTTTTCACTTGATGCATGTCAATGGTCGTTCATTGAGGTTTTAGAAGCACGGGGAAACGCAGGAACAAACGAAATTTCGACGAGTATTTTGTCGTTCTATTTTACGTTTTTATGTAAAAATATGACTACTTATTCTGTTTTTGAAAATGCTGAAATCATTTATTTTAAACCACACCGAGAAAAATACCTTAGAAAAAATTTCATAACCCAAGTAATCATGGGATATACTCAAAAAATCTCTTGAAAAGATTAATGTCCTAAATAGCGTAAAAAGTTTCAAAGTTCTGATGGACGTATGTAAGTCGTGAAATAAAACTTCAGCTTAATAACTAAAAATTTATTGATTTTTTCAAAATTAATCATTTTTTTACGCAATGAGACAATATTGCAGGAACTTATGATATGATAAAAAATCAAAATTTATAAATTGTTAGGCGTACATTGTATTTTAAATGTTCATCGAGTTTTAATAGTTTATTGATGCTGGGATTCGATATGAACTTTGAGATTTTCTTTTAAAGAATATGTCTTTCCACATATACCACAAGTTTGTTTGATACCATTATGCACTGAATCGATATGACCTTTGAGATATCTTTTTGCAGAATATGCCTTTCCACATATACCACATGTTTGTTTGATACCATTATGCACTGAATCGATGTGTACTTTATGACTACTTTTTTTTGTGAATTTTTTTCCACATAAATCGCATGCATATGTGATACCATTATGCACCTCGCAGATGTGGGTTTTTATATAAGGCTTATGTGAAAACAACTTACCGCACATATTACATGCATATCTGACACCATTGTGCACTGTGCGAATGTGGTTTTTAAGATATTGTTTTCGTGTTAACGTCTTTCCGCATATATCGCACGAATAAGTGATTTTATTATGCATCGTATCCATGTGGATTTTGAGATATTTGTGTGAAAATAACTTTCCGCATTTATTACACGTAAGAGTGATTTTACTATGTACCGCATCGATGTGGGTGTTTAGATAAGCCTTCTTTGAAAACGACTTACCGCATGTATCACATGTGTGTGTGATTTTATTATGCACCGCATTGATGTGGATGCTGAGATTATATTTCAGTTGAAATGATTTGCCGCATAAATCGCATATATTTTGGGTACCATTATGCACTGCGTCGATATGGTTTTTGAGATACCACCTTGTAGTAAATTCCTTTTTGCATGTATCACATTTATGTCTGACACAATTGTGTACCGAGTTAATGTGGACTTTGAGACTTGTCTTATTTTTGAATGACTTTCCACATGTATCACAAGAATGGGCAATACCATGATGTAATGATTTGACAGGCCTAATCATGTTACTTCTAGTTGAGAAATTTTTTCCGCTTGTATCATATGCCTGGATTGTATGACTATCCACTGTACCGATGTGTTTTTTAAGGTTATGTTCGTTGTTGACTTTTTTCGTTATTTTTCTTTTTTTATTCTGTTCGACAAGTGCAGAGTTTAAATTAAAATTTAATTTTTCTGCGATGTCACCAATTATTTCTTTTTTCACTTCACTCACGGTTTCTAGTTTAATCATTTTTTGAGTTTCACGACCAACGCTATCTTTTACATTCTGCAACTGATTTGGATAACAATCGTCAATTCTTTTAACTGTCAATAAATTAATGCTAGGCTTCACGTCTTCACATTCAACGACTATTTCCATATCGTCATTAAGTTCACGATCCAAGTTCGAATTCCATTTTCCTGCATCGTCACATTCTTGTTTGACTTCACCCGCTGGTTCTATTTTAATTGCGTTATTAGTTGGATGACTATCATTACCTTTTACATTACAAAACTGAGTTGAAGAATAATCGTCAATTATCTTAACTGATGATAAAGCCATGTAAGGTTTGTTGACGCCTTCGCATTCTGCAATTATTTCTACTGCATCATCAAGTTGACTTTTACGATTTTCGTCACATTTTCGAAGGATATTGGTTGGCTGAAAAGTTGAAGCAATGTACGAATTTTCACGAAAAAACAACTACAATATAAGTTACATAAATTATCAAAACTTACTGAATTTTCTTGTAGAAATGGTAAGAGTTGTACGTTTTTAAGATCGGGCGCCTCATCAAATATTTCACGATCATTTTCAATGAGCGACGCATCACTAGGTTCTTTTTTGTCTCTTACACAAGCACAATTAGGTATATCACTTGATGCGAATTCCATGTTACTCGCTTGGAATTTCGTTAACAATTGATCTTTCTGCGATGATTTCACGTATCAAACTAACCAAACAAAAAAAAGGCCGTCGAGGAGCGTTGCGCTGTGCTCGCTGTATTTTGCAAAACTGAGTTTATGCTCGATCAGCTACGCACAGTCCTCCGTGTAGCGTACATAGTCCAATGGAATGCATGGCAACACACGAAGAGGTCATGTGTGCCACGCACGACGTAAACAATAGAACGAGCCCAGCTCTATGCTCTTCGACAGATTCTCCGTATTTACAAATCGTGTCGTAAAATTTCAGAGCTATTCAATGTAAACGAAGCAAAACTAAGTCATCGTAATTGTATCAGTGAAGAAATGACACTATCAGATGTCTAATGGGTTTTTCTTTAGTTATTGATGTTCGACGTTTCGAAGCCTAAAAAATATCCGATGAACGATTATGAATTTAGCCTCGAATTACGAGGATTTTTTTTATATACGCCGATGTTGAGAGCACCAGAGATAATAAACCCATTTTGGAAAACGGCACGTTTGGTTCTCTGGCGAACCGAGAGAAAGAGATGAGAATCGACCGAAAGATTATCACACGTGCGTCTATCTCTCTCGTATAGGGAAAGAGCTAGTAAATCTCTCGAGGGCGAAGCCAGCGCGGATCGCTTTTACTAGCGCGCGGAGATGGTGGTGTGCCGCTCAAAAGCTTTTTTCCGACCCAATCCTCGTGGGGGGGACCACTGGCGGGGCTCGAGGAAAAAAAATGTAAAACCACGGCTATAATGCATTCTCAAAAGACTTTGATATCGAGCTATATACACGTACTACAGCGCCGCAGCGCGCAGAATCGGCAGCACGCAAATTTTCTCTCCGATAAAGAATATTTTTTTCGAGCTTACATGCTAATGTATATAAGCGCGGGAAGAAGAAGAAACGAAAAAAGAGAAGAGAGATGTGGAGAAAAAAAATTGATATTGGCACCGAGGTATGTGCGCACGAAAGATTATACAAAAAAAAAAAAAAAGAAAAAAAAATACGAGGAGAAATAAAATATAAGATCGAGCTGGGTATAAGCCAGAATTACACGGTGCAAAAAATCTTTTGAACGCGCAGTGCGCGCACTATGAAAATCGATACAGCTGTGCGCGCGAACCGCTGCTCGTGTGTGCGTGTGTGTGTACGCCAACGCTATTTTATTTTGCTTTTATCAATAACACGGTCCTATACCAGCGCCGCGCGCTATACATATACGTATCGGATTATGCGTATGACCCATCATCTTTTCCTTATAACGTATTACAATATTCCAACGCGCGAAAGCTCGCTGCGTTCATATATCCCTGGCGCGCGCAGCGGAGGAGCTTGCGGCATTCCAATGCGCGCGTTCGAATTATTCAGAAACGATGATACTGCACAAAATCTTTCTGACGCGCAAAATTCAAGAAGCAGCACAAAGTTCGAGGGTTGGACGCTGCTGCTCTCTTAATGCGCAGCTGTGCGGAGAACATTTGCGTTGGCGCTTAAGGGCAGCTTAAAGCTCGTTTAATTTTCCTTATTGCCGCTGCTACGCATATATATCGGCGAAACTTTCTTCTTTTGCTTCGGAATGCAGTAATGAGCTGTTAGCGCTAATCGTCTCTCTCTCTCTCTCTCTCCCGTTCGTTGGAAACTTCCGATATTAAAGTTTATGCATAATTATTATTTGTTTAAGTATTGTTCTCTTACGTAAGGATTCGACGGTATTTCAAATACGGATTATAATCTCGCGCGCGACTCGAAAATTATACCGATTTGCGAGTTACGAACGAGCAATCGTAGCGGGAGTAGATGTAGGAATAATTTTGCGAGTAATGGAGCACGATAATCGCACGAAATCGTTCTTACAACTAAGCTAGAGCAGGAAAAGGACAACGACGATATAATTGGTTTTTCCTTGTTTGTCGCCTCCGCGAGCGAGCGAGCAAAAATGCATCCGCGTTATGCTCTTTCTGGGTATACGCGCGGAGCTTTAATGGAAAAATTAGTGCGCGCACTGCAGTGCAGCTACGTGTGTGTGTGTGCGCGCCTGGCTTGGATCAATTAGCATCGCACAGCAGCAGTAGCAGTAGCAGCAGTGCTTCTGA